TTCTTTAATGCTGCTTTCTACACAACAGTCAGCATTTCCCCTCCTTAGGCCTGACATTCCCTGAGATTTCCCTTGCCACCGGAGACTCGGAATAGCCTTTAAAAGTCCCCCGAGAGATATTGTGACCTTGTGAAGCCCGGCAACCCAAACTAGGATAGGAGTTGGTCCTAGAATTTAAATGGGAGTGGCCATCAATGCGCTTGAGCCGTTCTGTGTAACAGGAACAGCTTGCTATCCCTATCAGTTTTTCTCTCCGAACTTCGCTGTAATGTCTACTGAATGGGTTTTCCCAGCAGTCGGTTATGGCAAATGCCTAATTTTCCCAGCAACAATGCATCTCCAGTATACAGCAATGGGATAACCAACAACTGGATGGAATGCAGAGTATTTGGGAGGGAGTAATTAAGGGCCACGAACTCTGCAAAAGACCTGCTCCCGACAGAGCTGGAAAGTGGTAGCTCTGGTTTGTTGTTGTGGACTCTTCGCTGAGGACAAGATCCATCCTAATTCTCAAGAGGCATCACTAGACCAAAGGAGAGGGCCAAGAAACACATTTGTTTCTCAAGGCATAATGCAAAAGAGCAAATAAGCACCAAATGCCGGCTTCATACCTTCCCAGAATTTCTTTCGGCTCGTATTTCTCATAAAACTCCCCCGATGTTTGGCTCTCTGGCAGCTCCTCGGACTTTGTCATCTTGGCCTACTTCACAGGGACCGTCTGGAGGTTTGCTTCAAGATGATACAAAACACTACCAAAAAAAAGTGTGTGTGTGTGAAATAAACAGCCTTTTCAAATTGCACCATTAATGAAAACAATAGCACAGGACAATTGGAGTCAGAGGCTGTTTCTTGATGGTAGTTCCCTTTGGAAACTGTAGGATAAATTAGTCCCGGCTTGGTCTACTTTTAATAGAGATGTGTTGAAGGAGGGCTTTTGGGTGGCATAAATTCTCAAGCCAGCTATGCCGGCTGACATTTTCTCTTGTGTAAAACTTTTGAATGTCCTCATCCTTTTTTACAGCTGGCTTATGACACACATACCATCATCTGTGCTGTGACGTTTTCAGCTCACGAGTTGTGCCGTGTATACACACCAGAGTGTGGGAGGAACTAATTACATGCAGAGGTAGGTCAAACGAAGCTATCGGAATCATTATAACATGACCTTTTGAAAGGTAATGGATAACACTTTCTAATTATTTCCAAATGTTTCTTTTAAAGGGCATTCTAGAGACATTTTTAGAGGTATTAGGATAAGAATTTCTCAAGCTGCCTTGCAACTGTTTATGAAACCATCTCTTCCATTCTTTGTACTGTAGTTTGATCAGTGTTCCGAAGGTGGAAAATAACTGTGAAAAATAATTCACAGACTGAATCATTGAGATTCAGTCTGTGAGCGAAAGGATGAGAATGGCAACCTGGCTGCCAGAAAAAGGGAGATAAGTTACTTTTTTAAAAAATTGAAATTTCTAATCTCTGGCACAGAGTGCTCTGAAGCATGTGCAGAACGCTTTCTGGCGGCTACTTGTGAACCCTTTAGGTTTAGCAAATTAACAGTCCAAGCCATTTCAAGAGGGTTTGGGGTGAAGCTTCCCTGGCAGTCCAAAGTTTCAAAGTTAGGAGCCACCATTACAAAAAGTTTCCTTCTTTTTTTGGATCCCAAGTCCCACAATTTCTGGCTAACTTGGGTTCTCGGACTGCAACCCCCCTGAATTCCAGTTCTCTCTGCTCTCGAGTTATCATTTCTGCCATCTTGTTTTTATGAACAGTTTTCTGTGTTGCCTTTTTAAAGCTGAATTTATATTGTCCTATTTTGATTTTTTTAAAATATTGTTATATTTGTGTGATTATTATTTAATGTGTTCTTGTTGTTTTTTCTGCTGGGAACCTTCCAGAGTTGGCCTCAGTAGCCAGATGGGCAATATATAGATCGAATAAATAAACAATACATTAATCAATAAGAGCCCAACCTTTCCCATCTGGGATCTAAAAGGTAAAGGTAAAGGTTCCCCTTGACAATTTTTGTCCACCCAACCTTTCCCATCTGGGATCTAAACCTCTCTTATATTTTGGGGGACACATTCTGCTTCCTTATGCCCTGTCCAAGGCATTTTGATGCCTGAGTTAAACTCTCTCTGTGTGTATATGTGTGAAAAACAGGTCTGAGTTACAACCTGCTTCCAAACACATCAGAAACACAGGGCATTAAAAACCCCCATTATAAGTGACCTGCTCTTACAAGTGGAAAATCCTTAAGGCCTGATGGTGTGTGAATGTTGCAGCATGTTTTTTTTTCCTTTATCTCATTTGCAAATAAGCTTGCTTTGTCTTCTGATTGGTCATCAGGAGGGAACCGCAGACTCCATTTCCAAATCCGATTCCTCAGACCTGAAAATCCAACTGAATCATGTTTCTCCGACCATGTGAATCTACTCTTAAGGACCACTTCCCTGTCATGTCTGTTTATCCCGCCTTCCCCCTTATTTTGACTTTTAAAAATCACCCTTATTTTGACTTAAACATTCACCCCTGTGTGCACTAAAATTGTGCATTTAATCTGTTTTTCTGAGCAAGATCCATTTCGAGAGAGAGGGGGGAATGTTACTCACCATAACCTGTCGTCTCCTAACCAGCTATTCCAGGGTCTCGTAGGGGATCGGTAACTCCAGACAAATTTGATCAAGATGGGGCCACAATCCTATTGCAGCTCCAAATCCAAACCCCCAAAACTCCAACCTTGCCTGCTCGTTTTGCTCCCAGGTCGCTTGCTTGTGCTCTCAGTGGGAATTGCAGAGTCAAAAATAAATGGAGCCAAACCACCCAGGCGCTGTTCCAAAAACTGCTGGTTTAAACGCTCGGAGGGCAGCTGGCAGTGTTTATTTAGGAGTGACCTTACTGTGAGGTGAAGCAGCGATTCGGCAGGCGACAGCGCTGCCAGGAGTGAGCAACGGGTAAGGGAAAAGTCAGAGCATCTCACCCAGGAGGCAAGAACCCAAAACGTGGAAGGATTTTGAGTCACCCAGCTGGGCAAACCAGAGGGGTTTTTTTAAAGCAGATTTTGGCTCTCTGCTTTAACCTGGAGTCCATAACGCTCGAGTCGAGAACGTCCTGTTGGAAATGTGGGGCTGGCAAGGCCATCCCCAACCATTTGGCTGCCTGAGGCGCCATCCCAAAAGCCCTCCTGCAGGTTCGAGGTGCACAAGAACGGGACCAAAACGAACAAGGTTATTATTTTCCCTTGGAACAGCTTGGATTTGGGTTATGTATCAAAGGGCAGTTTTCGGAGTGCGATGCAGGGCTCCGAACCTAAACTGTGGGACACACAGATAATCCTTTTCAGAGACTTGTAATCCGGGCCTTCCGGGTTAGCATGTTTCACATTTCAGAGGACTTTTCTATTTATTTTAATTACCCCTTGTCTTTCTTTCCAGACAAGGATACAAAGCAGCTCACGGGACTTCAGCTGCTTCCAGGAAAGTTTTTAACCTGGGGAATCTGTCAGGAAATGCGTAGGACCCCTGCATCTCCTGCCAGCTGCTAGGAAACAGGTGGGTAGATGTGGTCTTCCAGATGTTCGGGAGATTCCCGTTGGCTAGGACGGAAGGGAGCTGTGCTCCATCAGCATCCAGAAGGCCACTCACCCACCCTGCTCCAAGCAAGGTTGCTTTCACTGCCAGTACCAGCAAAAGATGTCCATTCCACATCTGAGGAGTGCAGGAAGCTTGGTTTTATGAATGACACAATGTAAGGAATTGTGAAGAACTGGATCTGTGAACTACTTCCACCCAAAGCAAAGTGGTCAGTTTTGAATTTTTTCCAAATAACATCCTGCACCCCAGAAAACCTCATTTCGTACAGAGGGTTTTTCAGTGTTGTCACATACTTAGGCAACAAGGATATGAATACAAGGTATTAACAGTTTTATCACCAGCCCACCTTACAAGGCTATGAATACAAGGTATTAACAGTTTTATCACAATAGTCTTCTGGGCCATGTCCTCTAGAAGGTGCTGTGATGCTGGCAGCAAAATGTTTAGCTACAGGAAGCCTCCAGTCTCCCTCCGTTTCTTCAATATGCAGAATCTGAGCTCTGATTTTGGAACAAATCCATTTCCTCTCAGCCCTTGCCCTGCTACTACGGGACTACAGTTCCCTGGTCTCTGCACCTTAATCATGCTGGGCTAATGAGAGTTAGAGTCTAAGTCCTGCAAGGCCAGAGGTGTATCCCGCCCTTTGCCTCACGAGAACATGGAGAAAAGTGCTGGTAAAATGTTTATCACAGTGAGAGAGAGAGGAGCGAGTATTCAGGATGCAAATACTTCGTAGATTCTCTGATAAGAACGACAGAGATGGTTTGGTGGACAGTGATCCACTTTTTATTTTGAAGCTCACAGAATTACATTTCTGACGCCCACACGAGCAGAATCAAGGAGCGCAAGCGATGCCACTGGGAAAGGATGTGCCCACCCGTTCCTGAAACACACAGGTTGCCACGTTTCGCTGCATCGACTCTTCGGTGCTTCTCTAGATGGACAAACTGGTCACGAATGAAGAAAAGCTAGGCCCGCTTTTAAGGACTAGAGAACGATTTACTAGCAACATGTCTTTTTTCTTTTTTTTTTTGAACGGAGAGTAACGTCGCCCGGCAGATGAGTTAGGCTAAACCTGTGGTTGTGAAAGGGAAAAGGGAAAAGAAAGCTGATCATTACCAGACACAGAAAAAAAAAATGAAAAACAAAGACACCAGGCAAGGGGCAAAGCCCAGCAAATTCAGCTCTCCCATCGTAACTATTCAGATACTATAATGGATGCTTCCCTTCTTGCTCATCTCTGCAAAGCACTAAATGGAGTACTGTTCAAAATTTAACTATACCATTCAGAGGACCAGTAATGGACTGCAAGCTACAAGCGCCCCAAATGCAACCGGAACAGATTTTAACAGAATCTGAATATCAAACTGGAACCAACCGGTGCCGGCAACCTGGTTTCCAGTCTGCCTGACATGTCACTTGGGTACCAGGAACTGAACATGAACTCCAGCATGACTAATGAAGAGGTAAGCAACTGCCAGAGTACCCATTAAGGTGGTAAGGCTAAGAAGATCCATGGGGACCATAAAGTCCATCCAAATCTTACCAATGTACTTCAGGATCAGCCAGCAACAGAACAGGGGTCTGATCCACCACTGCCCCAAACGCCCTAAAATCAGGCTGAGAGGTTTCCTAGCTCTCTAGAGGAGGTTTTTAGGGTAGCACTGGGAGGGCTGTAGGAGGAACTGTTGCTCCCTTTCCTTCCACCCCTCCATGGGATCTTTGCTTAAGCCAGGCACTTTAAACTGGAGGAGAGCCATACAAACTGCCTTGAATTCGCTGCAGAAGTGTCATCCACTAACCATCAGCAGCTCCTGGCAGCCCCCAGGCTTAAGCATGGTGGTATTTTGCAGGCTGGCATGGGATGATACAAATTGCTTTTGCATTTTTTGTTACTCATCTTACTTTGACTATAAAGACTCTTCCATTTCTTTTTAAAGAAAGAGGGGTAACAAAGCAACCGAAAGGCAAAGGTCATTTCCTAAAATTGTCTTACTGGTTCTCAAGACTTGGCTCCCTCTATCTCCTCTAGTCTTGATCTACAGCCATGTCCAAAGATCCAAATCCACCCTAGGGAGCTCTGAAAAACCAACACCCTCCTTGAATAATCATCTCTATGCAAAACTGGAAGAGTCCCTATGGAACATCTGAGTCCCACTCTGGTCAAACTCCCGACTTCTGGCAGATCACAGGGAGAGCCATGGGGAGGAACCTACCATTTGCAAAACGGCATTGCTTCAGCACCTCACTGAACCCCTCGCACAGCTTCAGGTCGGCCTGGTTCTGGGCGCACTCCAGGAACTGCTTCATCTCGTACTGGCAAGGGGTGAACTGGGACTGCTGCCCCACGGGCTGGGCTGGCTGAGGCTCCTAAGGGGGAAAAAACACACAACACGGCCACCGTGAGAGAAGGCAAAGAGGAGGACAGAAGGGACCCGCCCCGCTTGGAAAACCGGGATCCCCCGTAAGTACAACCCCTTTATTCCAATTTGTGGGAGAAAAATGCTCAGGCGCCTGGTCTTCCCAAGCAAGCCTGCACTTTGCACAGCCCATCATCATCATCATCCTGATAGGATATCAGCAGAGGTTCAAATTCAGTCTCTACCGTTGCCAGACCGCTGGCAAAATCAAGGAGAACATGGACAGCCCTACGCAAAGGACATTGTTCCTTCTCCTTTGGAACAGAAATCTATTTTTTTTAGAAAATGCACAGCAAACAACAAAGTACAGCCCATTCCGGAGATAAATGGGTGCAGCCTCCTCTTTGACACCTGCTGGGGTCTTATTCTGACTTCTTCATTTAGGATTATCAAGACTCCAAAGATCTGTGCACTGATGGTTTTATCTTCTTTAGTTTTTCACTTTCAGAAATACTAGTTGCTTAACATACTAGAATATGCATTGCCTCTGGGAGGGCAGCTCACTCAAATGGAACCGACGCATCTTTTTTGAACGCTTGGAACAATTTTTGTAACCTGAATTTTCCCTTGTCCTTGAAACTGCTGTTCTGACATTGTTTCTGCGCAATGATTGCACTAAGCCCAAGTTTAGTCAAAAGTAGACACCATGGATTAAAGCCTGCTTTTCTGGCCCTAGGGATGAACTTGCAGCTGTACGGAGGGACAGGTAGGCAACTCAACTTTGGTTTCTGGGCCAGATTTGTGCTGTGTGCCTCAAACCTTGCTCACTGCCTTTGAGTTCCAGGTAAAGGTGTGATCTTTCTCTCTCTCCATCTCTTACCTGGTAAGTGATGTCAGGCCGAGCAGCTTCAGAGCTTCCTCCTCCGAATCCTCCGGTCATGGCGTGCCCCAGGGTATGCCCCACAGCTGAGCCGACAGCCACACCGGCAGCCGTCGTGGCCATCTGAGCCATCAGGCCAGGCTGCCTGGGGGCTGGAGATGCCACTGCTGAGGCGGGGGCAGCAGCTGGAACAGGGGCACGGGCAGCTGGTGGAGGGGCAGACCGCATGGGCGGCCCACGGCTGGAAAGAGAAGAAAAAGCAAAGACAAAATGGTTGCTCAGTGTCAACCTAGAGGTAAACGACCCCAAGCAGCTTGAGTCTCATGTCTGGGATACATCCTCATTTGTCCACTATCCTGATTTAACATGTTCTAGAGCAACCACTCTCAATGTAAGGGGGGAGGGTACAGACTACAAAATGTGAGAAAAGGATTATCTATTTATCTGTTTGTGTTGCATCCTTGTTTGACGGGAGGCCCTGGAAGCCGAGAAGCGCTCCTAGAAAGGCTGTGTCCCAAAAAACGTTGAGTACAGCTCTTTACAGCATGGTTTAATCACTCAGCTGAAGCTAAAAAAGATGAGCCCAGAATGAGTGGAATGTCTTAATAGTCAGCGAACGGTCTTAGAACCCTGTAAGATTCCATGATATAGGTCTCTGACTTCACAACTAGAGGTTGCAAGTTCAATTCCACCCCCCACCCCCATGTTGCCTCCAAGACAGGGGCTGGACTTGATGATCCCTAGGGTCTCTTTCAGCTCTGCAGTTCAAAGATTATGATGATTTTCCAGGCACTTATCAGAGCTCTTCCCTAAGTCATTGCACAGCAACCTGGTGCACACAATAAAGAAGCTGGATTTGCGGCACTGAGCAGAAACGGTCATGGTGAAAACATGGCTAGAAACACAGCTAGGAAGATCTGCTGCCAAGTCGGCGGCAGAGCCGTCAACTGAGGACGTTCCAAAACAAGACAGTCCCGTTAAGCTGGTTAAATATTCATGAAGGAAAACACACTGCCCTGTTACCTGATCTCCCTTGCTTGTCAACAGCAAAAGGAAGACACAGCTCCAGGTGACCCTTGGTCAAAGCTTGTAGAGGAGCATCTTGTGATCAGACTGAAAGAACACAGCTGCTAATCCTACAGTTAAGCAGGCTTGGCTTTTTAATTGGACAGAGCAGGAAAAAGGTCCTGGCAACCACACACAAGCCTCTGAACTGAAGAAGGGTGGGCTCATGTAATAGAGGGATAAGAGCTGATTTGTAGGCTTGGGTTTACAGATTCTCTTTAAATTCAGAATGACTAGCTGCTGGTACTTTTCAACCACAGATCTTATGAAAGTAAAATGCAGAGGCAGCCGCGCTTCCCAATAAACTTAAGTCCAAAATTTGTTTTAGGAGCATGCTTCTATGAGGCTAGCCAAGAATAAAGAAAAATGATAAGGTACAAGGTTCAGGGTGTTACTAAAGCAATGTGGAACTTTGGTGCCTAAGATCAATTAATAGTGTCCTTCCCGATTTTAATTTTGAGATGGCTGTTCATCACATTTGGGTTTTCTCTTTCCTTTTTATATCCATGTGCATACAGTGCTTCTCTTCTGGGGAAAACATATAAGCATAATGGCACAAAGAAGTTTTACTGGTGGTAACTTTTCTACTTTATGAAGCAGATCTATTCAAGCTCTGGAGCGAAGGACAGAGTACTTTTCCAATAGCTCTGCCTACATGTCTTCACCTTCTCCCTGCCAATGGCTGGAATTAGCACCTGATCACACATTCCCTTTCTGAAAGGCCTCTGGCCCTATCATCCTCTTTCTCGCCCTTTTCCTCTAATGGCTCACTAGCCAACTCCAAAATCCAAAACTGACATTATTCATCATCCCTGATGTTTTATGCTTCTGTTATCTTTTGATCTGTATTTGATACTGATAATTGTACTCGTGAGTCTTGTTGCTTTTGTCATCACCAAGGATGATGGCTGCCTCCTCCAGGAATTTTCATGGAAAATTACAAAACTGTGAAGCTGGAAGGGACCTTGAGGGTTATCTGTAAAATGACATCTATGCGAAGCTCCTGTTAGTGCAGCAAATAAAGATGAATCCCCTCCTGGGTGCTTTATTGTTATGTTATTGGTACTCCTATGTCAATATTTTGAAAAGAGTAGCTGCCAGTACTTTATTTACTTCTTACAAAACTTATTTCTTCCCTAGGAACATAAGGTTGGCATTTTAATTTAGGTTGTTGTCAGCATGTGGTTTTGTACAGAATGGCAATTGTTTATAGAAAGCCTCCCAACCACCTCCCCATGTCAGTCTAGTCGAAAAAGGACCCCCTTAGGACTATCAGATTTCTTTCCACCTGACCTTTCCTGAGTTATCATCCTCTTGCAACACACAAAGCAAGCGGTTTTATCCAAATATTGCCCTCCCTGCATCTGAGCAAGTGGGCTGTGACCTGTGAAAGCCAAGACACTGAAATAAAGCTGTAAAGCCTCGATGGGGGTTACAAGACGTGGGCTTTTCATTTCACAGGCTGAAAAAAAATGTGCCCCCCTTTTTTAAA